CTGCCTCATAAAAGGGTCGTCCCTGCAGGAAACCAAAGCCATGACAAATACCACTATGCACCTTCTGGTCAACCTGGGCTTCCATATAAACCACACAAAATCTATGCTACTTCCAACCCCAAAATTGGAGTTTATAGGGGCCCTCATTGACACGAATCTGTGTTTGGGTTGAATCCAACACCATTCGCAACCTTATCATGAGTGCGCAATCAGTTTCCACCATGACGGTACGTGAACACCTCAAAATCCTTAGACATATGGCCTCTACAACATATGTCGTCAAGTTGGCTAGACTCCACACGAGGGGCCTGCAGTCATGGTTGGCCACAACCTACAAGCCTTCCAGGGACCAACTCTCCAAAATAGTGTCTATTCCACCACGCATCCGCAATTCCCTTCATTGGTGGACAATTCCTCAAAACATGCTAGATGGTGTACCATTTCAGTGTCCTCCCCCCAACCTCACAATTATAACAGATGCCTCACTTATGGGTTGGGGAGCCCATTTAGGGTAACACTACAGCCCAAGGGAAATGGTCCTTCATGGAACAAACTTTTCATATCAACCTCCTTGAACTACGAGCAGTCAGATATGCACGCCAACACTTCGAACCGTACATAGCTCACAAGTCCATTACCATCATGACAGACAACACCACCTGCATATACTACATCAACCGGAAGGAGGGTGCGCTGTCTCCATCCCTTTGCATGGAAGCCACTAAATTATGGAACTGGTGCTTGGCACATCAGGTCACCCCAATAGCTTCTTACCTTCCTGGGGTACTCAGCATCACAGCGGATGCCCTAAGCCACACATTCCACTATCAGCATGAATGGGAGATAGACAGACACGCTCTCGCTCCACTAGTCTATCAGTGGGGCCAACCAGACATAGACCTCTTTGCCACAAAAAACAACAAGAAGTGTCACCTCTACTGCTCCAGAGCAGCCTTAGGGAAACACTCCCTCAGAGATGCCTTTTCCATCAGGTGGGACGCTCCTCTCCTCTACACCTTCCCTCCCTTTCCCCTCCTACATAAAGTCCTCAACAAGATCAGGACAGATCAAGCTCGGTTCATGTAAGTGGCACCAGCATCGCCCAGACAGAAGTAGTATCCTTACCTTCACAAGATGGCGATGATGGACCCGTATCCTTTCCCACTCCATCACGACCTCCTGTCACAGAATTACAAGAGGACTCTCCATCCAGAACTCCACAAACTTCATCTCCATGCCTGGCTCCTTTATGGCTCCAGGATGCCAAAAATACCTGTTCAGAGCTGGTGAGAAAGATACTGATCAACAGTAGAAGACAGTCCACCAGGAGAACATACCTATATAAATTAAATAGATTTTCTCACTGGTTTAATTGTTCGCACATAACACATCTGGTTCCACCCCCCTCCCTACTTTTTTGGACTACTTATTATCCCCGAAACACTCAGTCCTCGCTCTTAGCACCATCAAGGTCCATGCTGCTACCATAGCAGCTTTTCATCATCCCACAGATCGGGTTTCCATCCTTGCTAATCTGATAACAAAACTGTTCTTTAAGGGTCTGCAAAACATTTTCCCACCTGTCCACCCTCCGGTCCCTGTCTGGGATCTGAGCCATGTTCTAAAAAGCCTGACAAAGCCACTGTTTGAGTCTCTAGCCACCTGCTCTTGGTCTCATTTTTCCATGAAGATGTCCTTCCTGGTCGCGATAACCTCCAGTAGGAGGGTGAGAGAACTCACCGCCTTAATGGCTGAACCCCTATACACGGTGTTCACGAAGGACAGAGTGATACTCCGACCCCACCCAAAGTTCCTCCACAAAGTCCCTTCCACGTCAACGAACCCATACACTTGCCTTCCTTTTTTCCTACGCCGCATGCTGATCCAGTTCAAGTCGCATGGCACACTTTCGACATCTGTAGAGCACTGGCAATTTATGTGGACCGAACCAGACCCTGGCGAGTCTCCCCTAGGTTGTTTTTGTCCTACACTGAATGATCCAAAGGACAAGCAGTTTCATCTCAGAGGTTTTCGAAATGGATTACCTTCTGTATTCGAACATGTTGTTATACATTATATGACAAAGCCTTACCTGAAACCATCATAGCTCATTCCACTAGAGTGATGTCTTCCACAACTGCCTTCATTAGCAATGTTCCTCTCCAAGATATCTGCAATGACGCCTCCTGGTCATCTGACCACACATTCACTCAACGTTACGCTCTCTCCTCTTTGATTGCATCTTTCATGGTGGTGGGATACACAGTACTATCTACAGTGACTACCACATGGCTACAAACCCACCTCCATGAGCTCACAATTGCTCTGTAGTCACCCAGAGTGGAGCACCCACGGGGACCACTCGAAGGAGAAGAGAGTTGTTCACCTTGTGCAGTAATGGTGGTTCTTCAAGATGTGACCCTATGGTTGCTCCACTACCCTCCCTCTTTCCCCTGCTTTGGAGCCTTATGCTCTAATGGGTAGAGAAGGAATGGAGGAGCTATGTTGTGCTGCGCGCGCTTGCCTGTCTGCCTGCTGCCTAACAGATTCCAACAACACAAGGGGGTGCTGCAGCGCATGCGCGGCATGGTGGAAACTGCTAGAAAAGTCTCCGGTTGCTGGCGCGAGGATGCACCAGCGCCAAGAGTAGAGCACCCATGGGGACACATCTCAAAGAACCTCCGATACTGCACAAGGTGAATAACTCTTTCTTTATATTGGGTTTGATAGTAAACAAAATTGTTTTAAGTATAAAAAACAGAATTGAAGTGGTTGCCAGTGAAAACAGTCAGATCAAAGTAAATTACTAAATTTAAAGGAACAAGAACATATAGCTAGTTCTAATCCAATAAGATTACTTACTTAAATTGATGTTACTTAATATGCAATTTCTTACTTAAACAGTTCTAAACATTTCTTTCTCAAGATAAGCAGCCTCCTAGTTTCACCTGATCCTTCCCCCTGTTCAGTCTTAGATGTTCAGAAAGTCCAAATGACCTTCTGTTTACCTGACAATTTTATGCTACTTTTTTAAGAGAGCAGCAGTCCATGTACCACTAATGGTGGCATAATATTCTTGGTATAGTCTTATTCTAAACACTATAATAATAGAAGAGATATGTAAGGATTCTGGAATATTGATATTTCTCTCTAGATAAATAGTAGATTCCCAAGTGCTTCATAGTGGCTTTTGGATAAGTTACACTTGTAACTTTTGCATACTTTTGTAGCCAGACAGGCCACCCCTCTGTCACTTCCATCTTGTTTGCCCCTCTGAGGTGCCTGCATACAGGGCAGAGAAGGATCAATAAAATCAGCATAGTCTTTGAAGTCTCGACACAAGGCTTGGATATGCTGGCTCATCTGACCCTGAGTAAGCTGAAAACATAGATATGAGAAAGAACAATCAAGGCAATAAGCTGACCTCGAGGCTGTGAGAACTGCCCTGGCTGGCACCTACATTGATACGATCACACACAGTCATCCCTGGGAGAGGAATCTCCCACTGAGAAAAGAATGCCCAGTGCTCCCAATTTAGTTATCTCTCTTACAAGTGTACATTAAGTTCACAACTCCCTTGTAAGAACTGGCATCACAAAGATGGACCAGCACCATTTGGCATCACCGATAAAGAGAAATACGTGACCCCAGGGGTATAAAGATGGGTCCAGCAGCATACTCACTTTGAGTGCCAGTCCAACCTTTTCCTGCTGGTCGGGTTAAGTGAATTGCCTCCCGAGGTCCACGGGGACGCCCACCTTGTATTTCATCTTTCCGAGGAATTGAGGGACCGATCCTGGCCTGACACACTGGGGTCGAGCGACGCAGAAGGGGGTAAAAATTGTACCCGTATGTGTCCTTTTGTTTTAGTGCATGCATAAAATAGAGCTCTTTAAAGATTAAGCTGTCACTTGGTACCATTATTTTCTATCTTCCTTTTTCCTGTGTAACCATTTAAAATCTGTATTTGCTAGCAGTTTAAAAAATAGAGCAATAGCCATTATAACCATATGATTTATAAGCTTCTTTAATAAACCTGTAACTGTTTAAGTTTTAACCTGACTCCTTCAGTTGCTTTAACAGAACCAAGCACAATTTAAAAGAACTTCAGCTGGTCATAAGGGACAGATATAGGAAGAGCTGGGGCATTTGGATCATGTCGCTTCCAGAGGACAGATCCGTAGGGGCATCTCTCAGCCTTCCCTAGGCTGCTTGCTGCGAAGGGATCCTGTATCTTAGCAGTCAAAATCTGAGATGTAATAAGCTCTTCCTATAAACTCTGGGGCGTCTGTCGGCCTGTTGACTTCCCGCTGCGAAGGGATTCCGGTCCTAGCCGTCAAAGACACGGATGTAAAACTTCTCGGGGCGCCCGTCAGCCTTCCCTAAGCTGCCCGCTGCGACGGAACCTTGTGTCCCAGCAGTTGAAGACTTGGGTGTAACACACACCTCTGTCTCTGTCTCTCTCTGCCCTGACCATCGGCTGACAACTTTTCAAAAGCAAATTGAAAAAGTAATCAAACTTAATTTTAGATTTGTTAGACTCTAAGGTGCCACAGGACTACTTGTTTTTTAAGTTACTAACACGGCTACCCTTCTGAGAAGTTTAAATACAATAACTTACTTTTTTTAATTTTTGATATTTTAGAAATAATTAACAAATTAATCAAAACAGTTGCTGAGATTGTAGTCCTGGTTGTAATTTAAATTGCATTAAGCCAATGACAAATAAAAATTGTATGATGAATACTAATAGGAATGTTAGATCGTGGTTCAACAATATAATAAAAAAAACTTTTTTGCCAGAAAATCCAAAATGTCAAATTCAAATGTTGTTCCAGAATTTTTCTAGATTTATTCAGTTGACATACATATAATATTCATCTTTTAAAAATCTATTTGATGTATTTTTCATAGCTGAGATGTTATGAATATTTTAGAATTAAAGGGTTAATATAATTTTTGCTGTTAGCTTCACTGCTGATCCTTCTACTTCACTGCAGGAAGAAAAACAGGCGCACCCCAGAGAATGCTGGGTTGTTCCCTTAGCTGCTTACAATGTGCTAATGAGGTGCCTTCGGGAAGGGGTAAGGATTTTTTATTGTCCTCAGTTGAATTTCTCCACTGTAATAACCCTTCAGGCATTGTGAGAGAATTGTAGCCTAAAGCACTGCAGTACATTGTCAATGAAGTATTGTTCCTGAATTTAAATAGTCATGATATGACCATGAACTACACAGTAGTAGTTGATTGCAAAAATCTGTATACTCAATATTTATGCATTGTTAGTTGATTTCAATTATAAGATAGTAAATAAAGAATGACTGTGATGTAAATGTGTAATTTATTTGTTACGGATTTCTTTTGAGGAGTGTATATATACACACAGATCTTATTTTCTGCCAGTCTGATGGAAAAAATTGATATACAAAGCTCTAAACACTCCATCATCTTGCCCGGCCATCAGTGTGTGTTGGAGCCTGAAAGTAGTGAACTTAAGATACAAATAATACATAGCAAAAAAGGTCTTGTACTTAATTCCTGTTGTGAAAACTTTGTTAAAAAAGGATAGAAAACAACCACATTCTAGATTCCCCACTCAAAATGAAAAATAATTGAACATGGCCACATATAAAGCTGTCGTTTATGTTTATTTAAGGCCAATTGCCCGGGGCAAAGCTAGAAGCCAAAAAAATTCTTTACTGGGGAAAAAGGCAAAATTAAACACTTCTTTTTAGATCTTTATTGCTTACAGATTATACTTAACAGAAGAAATCTCAAGCGGCATAGAAAATTTCCAAATTAAGTAACCAAGAGCACATATCTGATTTGTTTCTGGACTCTTTCCAGCCAATAAAAGATACATAATAAGATGTCATTCCAAGACATGGTTGTTATAACCCTTGTAAATGTCAGTTTGGCAAACGGAGACTTCTTGCTATCTCTGGATATCCATGGCATAGAAACAAAACAGAGGCATTGAAAGGAACATTTACCCCAGGGGAATTCTGTGCCACTCCATAATGCAGAATTTTGTAGAAATTAACATTGTGCACACAGAATTTTCTTTCCCTTACAGAAATGGGCTATGGTGCTGCTAACCACCACTAGGGGCTATTGGACACAGCAAAGCCTAGCCTACACATAGAATATAGTGCTGTGGGGAGAGCGGGTGGGGGTGGGACATGGAGCTAGAGGATTTATGGTAGCTTGAAGCTCCATAATGCAGAATTTTGTAGAAATTAACATTGTGCACACAGAATTTTCTTTCCCTTACAGAAATGGGCTATGGTGCTGCTAACCACCACTAGGGGCTATTGGACACAGCAAAGCCTAGCCTACACATAGAATATAGTGCTGTGGGGAGAGCGGGTGGGGGTGGGACATGGAGCTAGAGGATTTATGGTAGCTTGAAG